AGAATGAATCTGACCATGCCAAAAGCAGTTTAAAATACGAGATAAATTACTGTCTGATTGCACCCTTACTGAGGTCTAGGGTGGCCACTTATGTATTACCTGACCTTAATAAACAAATCCATTAATTCATTCACTTATGTGTCACCAAAAAGGAAGATAGTTGTTCAGATGGAGGATTGTGTTCCCAAAAGGAGACATGCAGCCATGTGAAAAAGAAAGTATGCCCTCTTTGAATTCTATGATTTTACATCAGGATATAATACAAATCATCTGGTCCTTAGCAAGTCTGAAAGCTAGGTAACTGCAACCTCAGATGAACAATAACACGTGATAACCCTGCGCCATGATTTATTTTACAGAAATAAAGACAAAATGGAGAAGCTGTGTGTGGAAAAACTAAGAACATCTTATGATTCAATAGCTTGTAGAACCACCTTTAGCAGCAATAACTTGAATTGGGTTTTGTTGTTGTTGTTTTGTATGACTTTATCAGTCTCTCACATTGTTGTGGAGGCTTTCTGGCCCACTCTTCTTTACAACTTTGCTTTAGTTCACTGAGGTTTGTGAGCATTTGTTTATATGCACTGCTATCTTAAGTCTCACCACAGCATTTCAGTTGGGTTGAGGTCTGGACTTTGACTGGGCCATTGCAATACCTTGATTCTTTTCTTTTTCAGCCATTCTATTGTAGATTTGCCTGTTGCATGACCCAGTTTCAGCCGAGCTTTAGCTGTTGGACAGATGGCCTCACATTTGACTCTAGAATACTTTGGTATACAGAGGAGTTCATGGTTGATGCAATGACTACAAGGTGCCGAGGTCCTTGGGCTACAAAACAAGCCCAAATCATCACCCCTCCACCACCATGCTTGGCAGTTGGTATGAGATGTTTGTAGAGATGTGCTGTTTGGTTTTTGCCAAATGTGGGACTGTGCATTATGGCCAAACATCTCCACTTTGGTCTCATCTGTTCAAAGGACATTGTTCCAGAAGTCTTGTGGCTTGTTTAGATGCAACTTTGTAAACCCAAGCTGTGCTACCATGTTCTTTTTAGAGGGAAGACGTCCTAAGCTGTGCTACCATGTTCTTTTTAGAAGGAAGAGTTCTCCTGGCAACTCTTCCAAACAAACCATACTTGTTCACTCTTTTCCTAATTGTACTGTCATGAACTTTAACATTTAACATGCTAACTGAGGCCTGTAGAGTCTGATATGTAACTCTTGGGTTTTTTGCAATTTCTCTGAGCATTGCACAGTCTGACCTTGGGGTGAATTTGCCTGGACGCATGCTCCTGGGAAGTTTGCCAACTGTCTTGAATATTTTTTTTACTTGTGAATAATCTTCCTCGCTGTATAATGATGGCCTTGAAATTGATTGGAAATGGCCTTATAACTCTTCTCAGATTGATGGGCATCAACAATTATTTTTTACAATCATTGCTGATATGTTTCCTCCTTGGAATTGTCTCAACACACACCTGCTCCAAATCAGCAAACTGCTAAAACTTCAGTTTTTATAGATGTGGTCATACTTGCTGATGATCAGTTACTCAAAGGCATTTGGTTAGCAGCAACTGGCTGCTGCTTAGCCTCTTAATTCCTATGGAAGTAATAAGGGTGTACTTTTTCACACCTGGCTTCTCCATTTTGGCTTTATTTTTGTAAAATAAATTATATCATGGTGCAATATGTGTGAAAAATTGCTAGAGGAGTCTGAGATTCTTCCAAACCACTACCCTTTCGTAAAATTATCCTGGCCATTGCCTGCCACCCTGTGTCCCAGACTGGTGATTTTATTGGAGGTGGGGTAGTGTTCCGTTTTCTTTTAATATGTTTTATATATTTTTAATATTTTTAGCTGTATGTTTTATAATATTTTGTAAGCTGCCCAGAGTAGTGGCATTCTCACTAAATGGGCAGGGTATAAATTTAAATAAGTAAATAAATAAACAATTTCTTCCTGACAATTGAGTATTCCTTGGATCAGAGAGCAGATATTTTATGTACCTTCTCTCATCAACAGCTTCTTCATGGTAACTATAACGTGGGAAAACGATGTGATAACTCACTATGCTTCTCAGAGTCTCCCTCCCCCCCCGCTTCCATATTCCCCCCACTTTCCTACATGGGTCTGGAAAAGCAGGATTCATTTAAAGAGAGAATTAATTTCCTCTCTGTTAATTATAATTAAAGAAGCTTGAAAATTGTTTTCATATGGCTGTTGTGTGACAGATCCTTCTGTTAGAAGCGGAAAGTGTTATCAGAAATGAATGTGTAAGGAACAGAGAAAAAAAAGTCAACAATGTCAGAGGATGTGAAAAAGATATCATTGTCCTGAGAAAGAGAGAGAGAGCGCGCAATCAGCAGAAGTGAAATGGGGAAAGAATTGCTCGGGAAAAAGTGTGACCAGGATGAATGTGATGGGAACTAAGATCAGTCACTCAGATCTTTACTCATATGCTAATTGTTTTGTGTGTGTAATATTCTATACCTGGTAGATTACAACTTGGTTTGATATATTACAAGGTTCTACATTCTGTAATTTTTATAAGCCTCAGAATATTATGTTTAACTCCAAAGATTGGCAAATCATATCATTTATATCATGCAATTGTATTTGTAGTCTCATATAGTCAGTATGGATTCTCAGTGTAGTGCAGTGGATAGAGTGACATATTAGGATTCTGGAGAATAGGATTTGAATGCCCGCTTGGCCATGGAAGCTCACTCGGGGAATAGAACCCACTTACCTCGAAAGCCTTATAAGTCACTTCTGACTTGACAGCACAGAACACACACATATAGTTAATGTACCTATTAGTGTGGTCTAGGTATTTATGAACTTGCCATTTATATTATTAACCAGGCAATTTGTATTTTGAAATAAAAACAACAAATATTCAAAGTAGATTTGAACATCGTGTTAGCTGCATATCTTGCAACATGCCAAAACCCTACTTCTTGGCCAAGGTGGTACATGGTTTAGCATTTAATTTTGGGAATATTGGGAAGTCACATTAGCCCTGTTCATATAGCTAGTGTGAAGCTCTAAGGTTATGAATAGGTGGGACATGACTGTCTTCGCCACATAAGTTAATGTGGTTTGTCGGTACACTTCTACCTTCAACAATGCTGCGGTTAGGGGTGCTGGACTCCCCGGTGTTGTTCAAAATCCATGTATAACTCTTATGTTGCTCAAAATGTAACTAGAAGGCATAAACAGAGGGGGTGGGGGGAGAGAGAACAGTTCTCTCTATCAGGGTTCTCTTCCATATAGATAATCCTTTCCATACAGTACTGTGTGTAATGAGCCTTAAAGGTTGTTATGGCGTTCTGATCTAGAGGCTGAATTAGAGATGTTGTGTTTGGGTGCTGCCTTTAGGGTTTAACTTACAGGGTTCTGGGTGACCAGGCACAGTACAGAGGGGGTGGGGGGAGAGAGAACAGTTCTCTCTATCAGGGTTCTCTTCCATATAGATAATCCTTTCCATACAGTACTGTGTGTAATGAGCCTTAAAGGTTGTTATGGCGTTCTGATCTAGAGGCTGAATTAGAGATGTTGTGTTTGGGTGCTGCCTTTAGGGTTTAACTTACAAGGTTCTGGGTGACCAGGCACAGTATTTATTGAATATTTATTTAATGAATATTTCTTCATTTATTTATTTATTTATCAGAATATTTATTTATTTTCCAACTCATGCAATTCAAGGAAGAAGTGTAGTTGTTTCTGTTCACTAAGATCATGTGGCGTGGTGATAGATCATCCTGCACAGTCTCTCTCCTTTGTCATTCCTTTTCAGATGTGCCAAGTGCTACTTTGGAAATGTTTGGGAGTACATTTTCCACTCACAATAAAGGGCCAAAATGCAGCCTCCAGCCCCCTGCTCCCCCCCAAAAAAAGTTTTGAAAAGAAACCAGGGCTCAAGATGTCCTCTTGTGCTCTCTGTGCTTTTTAGATACTTTAAAAAACTCAATTGTTTAGAAAGGAAGAAATAGTGTAGGAGAATGGGTGCAGGTAGAGCCCTCCAAGGTTTGTGGACCTCTGGAGATTGCCCACTCCTGGTTTAAAGGGTTGCCTTTTTTCCTTCTGTAAAATTAATGAATTGCTTGCTATCTTGTTGGTTCTGACCTGTGATGATTTTTAGTAGGTTTTCCTAGGTATAGAGTTCTCAGAAGTAGTTTATCATTGCCTTATACTAGGTGCACTCTGGAGCTATGCAGCTTGCCGGAGGTCACACAGCCTGGCTCTTTGCTTGGAACGCACAGTGGAGAACTGAACTCTCATCTTTTGGCTTCACATCCAGGTTCTCCAACTCTATGAACTATCCCACCAGTAAAATGGGCTGCCTGGAAACCCACAAGAAGTCTCAAAAAATAATGCTAAAAGTGGTGTTGATGAGGTTGTGCAGTGGGCATTTTGCAAGATTTATATGAAAGTCATACGAAGTCACTACTTTAAATGTAATTTTAAAAAGCAAGCCAAGAAAAGAGTGCCGTTTCAACCTCCTCATTCGGTCTGAATGTTTAATCTGATGCTAAAGTCGTAAAATTGAATTTATGTCTATTTACTGTGTGCTCTAAGTTTAGACTCTGAAGATATATATTTTACTTATTGTTTCATTTATACAGTAGCCAATTTTACAAGAGTTAGTAGGATGTTTCTATGATCGTGGTTTCTGGTGCTTGTTTCATGCTTGTTCACTTCTCAGTTTTAATGACATGAAGATAATATTTGAAAGCACAATTAGCTCTACACTTCTGTATTATGAGTCTCTTGCAGAGAAGACTTCATTAGCTTTTTCTGAAGAATTATTTCATTCTTCTGCCCTGTGAAGCCTGTGTGAGCAACAATGTAGGAAGTTTCCCAGTTTTCTTATCTTTTTCTGGAAGTTTCCTTGTTCCACTTCTCTCTCTCTCTCTCTCTCTGTGTGTCTCTCTCTCTCTCAAATAATGGTGCTTTTCATACCAAAGTGAAGACATATTTCTTCCTCCCCCCTGCAGTGTGAATGAGCTGTACGTGGACGATCCAGACAAAGACAGCGGTGGCAAAATAGAAGTCAATTTGAACATCAGCTTGCCAAATCTGCACTGTGAATGTAGGTATTTCTTTTTGAGACTGATTTGGCAATGGTGGTTGAGTAACTGCTACGTTAGTGTTTCAAATTCAGATTGCTATGAGTAATGTCCATTCTTTTCTAGGAAAAATGAAGATGTCTGTTTAGAGTGCATTCTTGCTGCTATTATGAATGGTCTCTTTCTGCTATTGCAAAACATTTATTTAACAGTGGCATGTTAGGCATTGTACTGAGTGACGTGGCCCCTAGTAAAAGAAAAGCATTTGCGAAACAGTCTTCTTCCGGGGTGGGAGGTGGGGGGGTCTCACTTGGTCTGTACTCTCTCTAGCAGTAAGCAAATTTCTCAGTTTCTGATTGTATTTTTTATTTTCCCAGGACCTTTTAAAGTACAGTGGTGCCTCGCATTACGATGTTAATTCGTTCCAGCAAAATCGCTGTAGAACGAAAACATCGTAAAGCGAAATTAGAAAGCCCATAGAAACGCATTAAAACCCGATTAATGTGTTCCTATGGGCTTGAAACTCACCATCCAGCAAAGATCCTCCATAGTGCGGCCATTTTTGCTGCCCGTGCAGCGAGGAATCCGTCCCAGAAAACAGTGGGTGGCCATTTTGAAACCGCCGATCAGCTGTAGGAAAATCGTTGTTTTGCGAGAATCAGTTCCCGAAGCAGGGAACAAATTATCGCAAAGCGAAATTCCCCCATAGGAAACATTGTTCTGCGATTTTGTCGTAAAACGGAGCGCTCGTCTTGCGAGGCACCACTGTATAAGTGCCTGTCCTTCTTAAGCTGCTGCTGTGGTACCTGTTTTTGGCTGTTTTATTCTTTGCTGTTGATGTTAATTTATGTCTTCATTGATTAAATAGTTTTCAAAGTGATAGCAATTGTTTAAATCAATCTGAGGATTTTTAAAAAACTGAAAATGCTGGAAATATAAAATGTGCAAATAAAATGACTACCATTAGTCAGGTGCTGTAAGTTTCAAGCTTTGGAGCTTAGAAGAGACTCCTTTTGTCCTTTGCTATGAGAATTGTTACCCACATTCTGGAATGAGTTCTCTACATTCCGTAGTGGAGACAAAGAAAAGTCAACATACCTTAATTCCACTTTAAAAGTTCAGAAAAACTTGCAGGTAAATAATCAAATAAATGATTCTTTCTGATTAGCCTAACTCCCGTTTTAATTCAGTTGCTGCTGCTCTTGCTATGTGCTGTCAAGTCACTTTGGATTTATGGCAACCCTGTGAAGTTGGGAGCAACCATGTCCAGTTACTTATCTGCCATCAAAATTCAATTACTTGGTTTTTTATTAAAAAAGAAAAAAAAGATGTATAATCCTTGCACACAGTCTGAAAAGAAAAGTTGACGCTACCTTTATTAGACCACTAACCTTTCATAAACAGACAAGCTTTTGGAGTCCTGCAGGAAATTTTAGTAGTTTAATGAAGTTACTGTGATTTCACAGTGTGGTGTAGTGGATAGAATGATGGACCAGGACTCAGAAGACGTGGATTTAAATTCCCTGCTCAGCCATGGAAACTTGGAAGTGGGGTAGAACTGGCAGAACTACTCCTTAAGTATCTTTCTTTCTTCAAAAAGCCTTTTAGGGTTGTTCTAAGTCGGTTCTGTCTTTACAGCATATAACACACATAAGAAAGGTATCACCCGTACTGTTTTTAGATTATAGTTTATCTTAAGGGGGAAAACAATCTACAAAATCTTACTTGAGATGGAATTCTATATGTTGCCTCCTTCTTTTAGATAATTTTTTAAACACACATTCTCTTTCCCATTTCTCCTGATCCCTAAACTTGCAGTGATTGGACTAGACATTCAAGATGAAATGGGAAGGCATGAAGTTGGCCATATTGACAACTCGATGAAAATTCCTCTGAATAATGGAGATGGATGCAGGTTTGAGGGCCACTTCAGCATCAATAAGGCAAGTTGGAGTAATGATCTGCCTCCAGAGGAAATACAGAATTGTGATATTTTTATGAGAAACTGTTTAGCATTTGTTCAGTGTTAGAGCTTTGGATGTAATCTCCCCTTTTTTTTTTTTTTACTATTGTTGAGCTTGGCGTTTTATCTGTTTTGTTTTGTTTTACTTGTTTGAACAACAGTTCCCAGAATCCTACAGCCATAATGTTCAGTGGCAGTGCTGAATCAGGGATTCTGAAAGCTATAATTGAAACCTTAGTAACCTTTCTAAACTCTCCATGCTATAAGGACTCTGCTCTGCCTTTGGCTCTTACACTGCTCTTTGAGAGGGAGGGAATAAATTATCAGAAAGAAGAAAACAGAAGAAAATGAGGAGGAGAGGATCTGGTTTCAGAATGAGAAGGCAGATTTGGTGTTCAGGGTATAGAACGTCCACTTACTTTGGGAGTAGATAAAGTGTGGCTCCCAAAGCTCACAGCCCCCTCCCAAACTGGGGGGAAAAATGGGAGTGTTGGAGAAAAAAAGTTTATTTCTGCTCCCAGAAGCCTCCAGGAATAAAAGATTTGCTCTGAAACTGTATGGAAGCCTCCTTCCTCCAAATCCACCAAACAAAACTGAAAATAGAATTCTGGAGGCACAATTTTGGAAATCAGGAGTTATTATCTAAATTAACATTTTAGGATCTGCTGAAGCTAGGGGGTGGTCTTGAGTATTGATAATAGGCTGACAGAACCTCCAAAATAGTTACTCAGTCTGGTCTAAAATCATCCCTATGTCAGTTCTTGATCACCCAGATTACATCTCAGGGTATTCCTGAAACAACTGATGTACAGTAGTTTGCTTTTCTTCCTCAATATGAATGCCTCCAATTAGGGCCATACACCTGGAGTTTGTAATGAGAAATCAGAATATTTGTTGGACTGTCAGTTAGATGCAATGATGCAGAAATATGCTGGATTGCCATGGTAATAGATTTTACATTTTGTTGCTTAAAGTGAACTCCTAGGCTGAGAGTTATTTAATTCTAGGGGTAATGGCGCTTGCTGATTCAGAGTATGTTCCTGCAGATAAATCTAATTGGGAAGAAATGCTTCACCCTTATCTTGACATGACAAACTGGAGCCCATACTGTCAACCCTCTTCTGCTGGCTTGAAGCACCAGGCTGGTGCCACCTCCTGGGTGGTAAACATCATTATTCTTGTGCTGACTTTCTATGTTTTGCCAACATAGCAAGGAGCAGCACAGGTTGGAAAGGAGGGGCGGGCACGCTAAAATAACAAGAAAATTACTCTGTACTAGAAGGGGGTAAAAGGTTCATATGCAGTAGAGAGGATTTGTGATTCTTGTTTATCCAAATTAATCCCCTCCCCATCCCAGTTATCCTGATGAACTTTTTTTAAAAAGTTCAAGAGTAAATTGGAATGGATTTTGTACAGATAGATTGCAGTATTCATTTTGTTGTTCAAAGTGAATTCCTAGGCTCAGAGTTATTTAATTCTAGGGGTAATTTTTTCTTTGCACCAGGCTTCTTTTATCCTGTGAGCCTGAATTCTTCCCATTCTTGTCCTGTACACACTATTACCTTTCTCTGTACATGGGTGGGTGAGCCATTTCCCCTAGTTCTGTGGGCATATAAGGTCATCATTTAGATCAGGGGTCGTCAAACCCTAGTCCATGGCCTGTTGCCAGTCCGTGGGCTTGCCAGAACTGGACCGCGGATACAGATCTCCACCCCCCCATGCTCACACGGTGGGCGTGTCATGTTCGCATGGAGGGTGACACCCCCACGAGCACGACATGCCCCCCGAGTGCGACATGGCCATCGCCTGAGCGCAGGGGTGTCTCTACCCCCCCCCACATGCAGCCTTGCTCCCCCCAGCCAGTCAACGGCCCAAAAAGGGATAGTCAAAAGGACAACTATAAAAGGGTTACTGTCTATTTGTTGTTTTGTATTCATCAGGGTCTCTGGATATGAATACGAAGCAACAGGTATCTGATGATACCTATTCGTTTTCATGTGTGTCCCCATGTCTAGACTACATCCTCTCTTTTGACTAGATGTAGATTGTTGTACATGAAAAAAAAAAGCCCCTGAAAATAAGCCGTAATGTGTTTTTGGAGCAAAAATTAATATAAGACCCTGTCTTATTTTCGAGGAAAAATGGTAGTTCGAACAACCACCACAAAATATTTCTTTTAGAATGGATGTACCTCTTGTGTTAGTAGTTTCACTGTCACCTAGATAATTATGGTCAGTTAAATCTTTGAGTTTGCATACACAGAACACTTATCATGAAGGAAAGAAATTGTAGTTACTGCTGGCGCTATTGCTTCTTTTTCTTTTTTCTTTTGTTCCTCTCCTCCTCCTTCTTGTCCTCTCCTAAGAATCAATTTTAGCATTACTGTAGGGGTATGGTCTCTTCTGCATGAAAATGGGAAATGCTTCTCCTGCCATGCCATCTCCCATTCACAGTTTTAATACATAGCTATAATAAAACAACCTATTTCAAAAAATGTTTGTATAGCTGTTGATTAGTGGACTGGGGGATACATTGTAAACCAACCAGCCTCACCATTTCAATTCAAACCTAAAATGTTAGAAAACATTGTTAGAAAAGAGTGTTGCAAAGAGGTGGGTCTTTTCAGGAGCAAATATGGTGATGGGAAGAGGAAGTAGCGCTGGGACTGACACATCGTTCTTTTCCTCAGGCTGTACATGCTAAGAGGGTGTGTAAAGGGCGAATCTGAAAACATTTTTTAAAAAATTTTGGGGGGGGGCTTATTGAGGAGCCCAGCGTGGCTGCGCGTTCCTTTCTTCTCTCCTCAAGCCTTTTGCCTCTGGCTTATGAGTCACTGCAGCGTAAAGGGCTACAGCCCAGCTCTGCATAAATGTGCCTTCGGTGAGAGCTTCATAGCTGTGCATGACTGCCTGGCTGACAGAGAGAAATGCCCCAGTGTCGAAGAGGAGTGCCTGCACTTCTCATGTCCTGTCACAGCTAAAGCTTTTCTCTCCACAGCAGTGAAAACATAGGCCTGGGGGAGGTCACACAGTGGAAGCTGGTGTATGTCTTGCGTTGGGCAATCTGGGTGTGTAAGGCAGCCTCTGACTCCACAGGGTGTGGGGGGAGAGGGGGAGGGAATGCGTTGTTTGCCACTGGCATAGTAAGGAATGAATCCACACCTCATTTTTACACCACAGGCTACAAAATTATGCTGCTTCCTCTTCCTTCTAATTCATGCTAGAGCATTCCTAAAAATAACATGCAAGACCCACCCTTACTTGTTATGACATTTAAAAATATATGTCGATGTCTTACTGAGCTGCTCCACACAGAGTGTGATTTCTGCCACCACCGTGGCTGCTTTTTGTATTAGGTTGCGTAGCTGGTGACTAATGGCAAAGCAAGGGTTGGCTGGAGAAGAAGGTAGAAGTCACATTACTCTTAAAGCTTAGGGTTTACTTTAAACTCCTGGTAAGAAAGCAATTTAACCCCTCACAGGCATCCTTTAGTCTCAAGAGACTGTGGTAATGTGCCCTGTATGCAGGACTTGGAACAGCGTCTAGTGTTTTGACGCTGTATGCGAAGCTGGAGTGTCCTCTCCAGGGCACGAAGCCTGGGCAAAATAATATGGAGGATAGGCTGTTACCCAACCAACAAATCCCCCCTCTCTACCTCACTGAAATAGTCCAATGGAAAGGCAAGAGCCAATACAACTGGTTTCAGTGACATCGCAGGAGTTGACAGAATGACATGAACTGCCTCCAGGACTCCAGGACTCTGGCTCCGGATTTTGCCTCGAAGTTAACTCCTGAAGCCTTTTCCATCGGTGGATATAGCCACAAGGTTTGATGTCAGAGTTTTCCTTCTCCTAGATAGGCTGCCTTCCCAGGCTAATGAGTCCCACCTCCCTGGCCTGCTCCCTCATGGCATGGAGGCTGATGGCGGTGCCTCAGTGGGAGTTTGAAGTCAGAGTTTGCCTTCTCCTAGATGGACTGCCTTCCAGGGCTGAACGAGTCCCACTTACCCGGCCTGTTCCCTCACGGCATGGAGGATGATGGTGGTGCCTCAGTGAGGATTTGTAGTCAGAGTTTTCCTTTCCTAAGCACAAGCTGCTGACAAAGTGCTGAATAAAGCTGCCTTTCATCTTCCATTTCTGATG